ATCATGTATTTAAACTGTAAAATAAATCAACATAAATAAATGAAAAACAATATCCGATTTCGGGCTCCATTAGCAATCTGTAATTAATTATGCATATTAATCTAACTTGTACAAAGGACTGTATTATTATTTATTCAAACTTCACATCTATGATAGGAAATAGGGTGAGGGGTCCTTACTTGATTTGATACCGAAAACTAGATGGTTACTGCGCCTACGGGCGGTCCCTAAGTTCCCTGAATTTTCTTTCGGGAACTGAAACGCACTTATGGCACCTACAAGTGCCCCAAATAAATCCAAAAATCAGACCCATGGCCTACTCGGCCAATTTCAGAATTCCAGCACGGCGGCTCCGCCGTGCTCCAGTGACGGAGCTGCCGCATGCGGCGGTGATCTGCCTCGGGTTGGCCATTTTCAGCCATTTTTGGTCGAATTCAGCCGAACTTACACCAGTTCCTACGAAAAAACACACTTAGGGCCCTCGGTGGGCTGAAAAAACGTAGAAAATTGAAACTCACAGGCGGTAGGGCTCTCTGGTGCGACGGCTTCTCTGGCTCACATTGCGGTTGGGTGTTTGGCTTCGGTCAACCTGTAGAGAAGGAAATGGTGGTCACAACGGTAGAAAAATCATATCTAACGGGAATCAGGAAAGGCTCATCGGAGGCATTTTTCGAAACACCCCACGGCGACGCTGCTGAGCTTCGGCGGTGTTTTTCGGCCAATTAGCCGGTTCTTTTACTCCGATTTGGCCATGGGTAGGTTTAAAATTGAATTTCGTACAAGAGGGGAAATTTTTACCTCGTTTAACAGTTAAAAATTGCTTCGGTACGGCGACAGGTGGCGGTAATCGGCTCCCCAATTGCTGGGTTATCTTCTCCGGCGAGGGCTCTGGCGACTAAGGTTAGGGTTTGGGTGCTGATGGGGTTATTTATACCCATCCGCTTTTGATTTGGGCCGTCTATTACTTTTAATCTGGACCGTCCAATCGTGATTAAATAGGGAGTGAATCTGGATTGTTCATCGCGATTCAATCTGGGCCGTCCGTGCGTGATGCAATCTGGACCGTCCGTACGCATTTTTGATCTGGGCCATCCGTGTGCGCGGGAACGGATCTCAGTTGTTCGATCGTGCGCACGCGGATTGCCCACGTGGCTCCCCCGCGTGGTCTCCCGCATCAGCACCTCTGCCACCTGGCGCGTCCTAGTTGGTCGGGGCTGCTGATCGGGCAGCTGACGTAGCATAACTTTTCTAAATTACGTTTTGACCCCCCAATTTCTGATTTTTCTTTCAAAAATACTCCCATAACCCAAATTTTCACTCATTTTCTCCAAAATTATTTTCAATTAACTCCCTAACCAATTTTTTTTACCTTTATTATTATTATTTTCATTAAATAAATTTAAAATTAAATAAATTAAATTAAAATCATATAAATAATAATTATATTTATAAAAAATAATAATAATTAATAAAAATAAAAATAATGAAATGTTGGGTGTTACATTTTGTTTTTGCTTTCCTTTTAGGATTACAGATTCAATTAGAGGGAGGGTTTA